AAGGAACGGCCTGCCCCTCAGGGGGGTCGTGAGCAATGCTCCCTCTAAGCTGCGGAGTCTTGTGAGCAAAAATTCTACTCTGCGAGCTACTGGCACTGAAGTTGTGAGCGAGCCGTTTGGCCTGGCGTGATGGGGTCCATGAGGTTGCAAAGAGTAGGACTCGACTGTGCGACTGAATGACAACAACAACAAATTTGGCTGCTGCATAAATCAGTTTGCTCTGGAGCCTTCCCTTCCTGAGCTAAGAAAAATGTGTGAGCCGGCTAAGAAACTGTGAGCTAGCTCACACGCACTCATCTTAGAGGGAACACTGGTTGTGAGAATGAATGATGAAGCAAGGGATAACCGTTGGGCACAGCTGGTAGCACGATGGAGAGGCCGCCTCTTTTGTCTTCTGTCTTTTGAGGCCTCTGTTTTGGTTTTGCCTTTGTGCATCACCGCCTGCTTTCTGCCCGCAGAGGGGGCATTCCCTGCCCCGGGCATTTTTAGAAACGGAAGCAGGGCTTATACCTTTCCTAAGTGACCAACCAATTCCCTTGGCATCTGAAACCTTTGCCAGGCATGCCTCGAGGGCCCATTAAGTCATCCGGCGAGCTCTGGGGCTGAGGAGGAGGAGGAGGAGGAGATTGTACCCCGCCCTTCACCACCCAAAGGTGTCTCAGAGCAGCTGACAAACTCCTTTCCCTTCCCCTCCCCACAACAGACACCCCGGGAGGTAGGCGGGGCTGAGAGAGCTCTGGGAGAAATAGCTCTGAGGGGGTCTCAGCACAAATCCAAAGAAGGCCTCAGGAGAGGAGACGGTGTGTTCTCTCTGGCATCTTCCTCACAATGGTCTGGTACTGTAGGCTAGTCCCTGCGGGGGTGAGCGACTTTCCCGGGGTTGACTGTCATCATGCCCCTGTACAAATCGATGGTGCGACCTCATCTGAAGTACTGTGTACGGTTCTGGTCACCACACCTCAAAATGGATATTATAGCATTGGGGAAAGTGCAGAAAAGGGCAACTAGAATGATAAAAGGACTGGAACACTTTCCCTATGAAGAAAGGTTAAAGCACTTGGGGCTCTTTAGCTTGGAGAAACGACGGCTGAGGGCGACAGGATCGAGGTTTATAAGATTATGCCTGGGATAGAGCAGGTAGAGAAACAGGTCCTTTTCTCTTTTTCTCACCATACAAGAACTCGTGGGCACTCAATGAAATTGATGAGCAGTCGGGTTAGAACAGATAAAAGGAAGTCCTTCTTCACCCAAAGAGTGATTAACACATGGAATTCACTGCCACAGGAGGTGGTGGCGGCTACAAGCATGGACGGCTTCAAAGGGGAATTAGATAAGCATATGGAGCAGAGGTCCATCAGTGGCTATTAGCCACAAGGTATAGATAGGGGCTCTCTTCGATGCTTGGGGATCCAACACCCTGACTGTTCTCTGGAAGGCCAGAGACTGAAGCTGAAGCTCAGATACTTTGGCTACCCAATGAGAAGGGAGCACTCACTGGAGGAGAAGACCCTGATGCTGGGGAAGATCGAAGGTCAAAGAAGACGGAGACGGCAAAGGATGAGATGGTCAGACAGTGTCATCGATGCAACGAACATGAAATTGAGCAAACTTCAGAGGACGGCGGAAGACCGGAAGGCCTGGCGTGATCTGGTCCATGGGGTCGCAAAGAGTCGGACTTGACTGTGCAACTGAACAACAACAACAACAGATAGGAACTCTCGGTCTCGGGCAGGTGATGCTCTGTATTCTTGGTGCTGGGGGGGGGGGCTTCTTGTCTCCTGGCTCCACTGCTGGACCTCCTGGTGGCACCTGGTATTTTTGGCCACTGTGTGACACAGAGTGTTGAACTGGATGGGTCATTGGCCTGATCCAACATTGGCTTTTCTTATGCTCTTATGTTCTTAACTGTCTGGATTCCCAAAGCCTTCCTGACACCCCAGGCTTGGACGGACATAACCGCTTGTGGGTGGGGCCTCCACTTCCAGGCCCTGCTCAGCCACGGCCCGATTTCTGTCAAGCAGGACGAGGAATGGTCCGCCCCGCAAGTCTGTTGTACCGCAAAACAGCTAAGGAGACATGGCTATCCAGCCCAAAGTGTACAGAGATCGCCTGGTGGCCTAGATCTGAGGCGGCAATCCTGCATGTGCTTTCTTTGGAGTAAATCCCCACTGAGTTTAAGGGGACTTCGATCCTGACGGAAATATGAGTGAGAGCTAGGCAATGTTTGCATCACCTCTTGGGGTGTTTGGAGTGGCCGTGGCAGCCACGGCTCAGCGGACAAGGAGGCCATTGTCTCTGGCTGGCCCTCCCCTCTGTGAGGCGGGAGGAAGGCCGTACCCTCCCCCACGCGCTCTCTAAATTGGGCCCTTCTTGGAAGCCCTGACCCTTCCTTGTATGGCAGCGTCGGGAGCGGCGTGGACTCTCCAGAGTTATCCAGGGTGACAGAATAAACTTGGAATGGCACCCAGCTCACATCCTCGGAGTCGATGAGGTGTAAAATGCCTCCCTGGGCCATTTTGGGTAAGAATGTGAGCGGGGGGGGGGTCCGGCGAGAGGAGGGTCCCCTTTCGTGGAAAGGATGGGGAGACTTAGACAAGAGGCGCTTTTTAAATAGCTCAGTCCCTCTGTCTTTATTAGCACCGTCGACAGGGATGTCAAACATGATAAAACATCACATTAGCTGGATTTACTCAGAGGAGGGAGGCTCCTGGGCGGGCGAGGACTGAAGCCGACAGGAGGGAGGAGCAGGTGCTTGCGCCGGAGCTGGGCCCTTCTTCCGACATGGCGGGAGGTGTGACGGCGTCACTGAGAAGGAGGTCCCTCTGGGAAAGGTCAGAGTGTTTCCCCTGGCCGGGAAGCCACACCAGGCTCTTGCAGACACAACATCTGGACGGACGAACATCTGGGACAAATGACGTGACAACCAGAAAAACACGAGCCCTGGAACCTTTTCCTGTAGATCTGGGGTGTCAAACATGTGGCCCAGGGGCCGGATTAGCCCCCCCCCCCCAGGCTCCTATCAGGCCCGCAGTGGAACTGGTCGTCTTCTGCTTCTTCCTCCAGTTCTGCTGCTGCTGCTACACACCTGAACAGCATAGCTGCTTACAGCTACACACCTGAACAGCATAGTCAAGACCCCAACAGCGCAGACATTTTGATGTGATAATTCAGAGCAAGAGAGATGTCAGTGACCAGACACTGTTAAATAAACAAAATATTGCAAGACCACTAATGTGTTAAGCATGTTTTTATTTTAAGTAAAAAAAAAACACCCTTTCTGTTTGTGTCCTTTATAAAGTTTACATCTCTGCTACCTGGTGCAAGTGGAGGAGCGGGGAATCAAACCCGGTTCTCCCAGATTAGAATCCACGCACTTAACCACTACACCAAAGTGGCTCTCTGACTCTCAAAAGCTTATTCCCCGAAAACCTTGTCCATCTTTCAGGTGCTGCAGGACTCAATTGTTATTGAGAGCCCGTTTGGTGTAGTGCGCGGACTCTAATCTGGGAGAACCGGGTTTGATTCCCCACTCCTCTGTATGCAGCTCTCTCTGCCCCACCTGCCTCACAGGGTGTCTGTTGTGGGGAGGGGAAGGGAAAGGAGTCCATCAGTGGCTATTAGCCACAAGGTAGAGATAGGGGCTCTGGGGCAAGTGATGCTCTGTCTTCTTGGTGCTTGGGGGGGGGGTCAACAGTGGGAGGGCTTCTAATGTCCTGGCCCCACTGCTGGACCTCCTGATGGCACCTGGTATTTCTGGCCACTGTGTGACGCAGAGTGTTGGACTGGATGGGCCTTTGGCCTGATCCAACATTGGTGTCTCTTATGTTCTTATGAGGAAATGGCTGCTTTGGAAGTTGGACTTTCTCAGTTTCTCTTGCTCCCTCCCCTTCCCAAGCCCTGCCCTCCCCGGGCTCCACCCCTCAAATTTCCAGGTATTTCCCAATCCAGCGCTGGCGACCCAAGGCCTCCTCAAGCATCCCTCTATTGGATTCTAATAGTTACCCGCTAATGGTTACTGGCTCTCCTTCTGCTGCTGTCTATGTGTTTTTAATTGAATTATTTTATCATTTTAAATGTATTTTAACTTTTCAAGTGTTTTAATGTTTATGATAATCCCCACCTTGTGGACCCTAACTGGATGGAAAGGCCACATAGAAATGTTGTAGTAGTAGTAGTAATAGGAGGAGGAGGAGGAGGAGATGGGATTTATACCCTGCCCTTCACTCGGAGTCTCAGCTTTCCCTTCCCCTCCCCACAACAGACACCCGGTGAGGTCGGTGGGGCTGAGAGAGCTCTTTCGAGGACTGCCCTTGAGAGAACAGCTCTGAGGGAGCTTGTGACTGACCCGAGGTCACTCCAGCAGCTGCACGTGGAGGAGGAGTGGGGAATCGAACCCGGTTCCTCCAGATTAGAGTCCGTGCTCCTAACCACGACACCAAACTGGCTCCAGTAACAGCAACAACAACCTGTTGCCAGTGGGGGAAACGGGGTAAGAGGAGGTGCCTGAGCCCCCTCTGCCCTGGGATCATGTGACCCGTGATTGCTGCGGAGCATGTGACCTGCAGCTCCCTGTCCCCTCTGCAGAATCCTGCTGCGCTGCCCATGAGCTTTAAGGGCCCTCCATGAGCTTCAAGTGGTTAAGATGCTGAACTGCAGGCTGTGGAAGGTCGGTAGTTCAGCAGTTCGAGACCCGAGTGTGCCGCATGACGGAGTGAGCTCCCCTCTCTAGTTCCAGCTCCTGCCAACCTAGCAGTTTGAAAGCAAGAAATTGCAAGTAGATAAATAGGGACCACTTCGGTGGGAAGGGAACAGCGTTCAGTGTGTGTTGGCATCTAGTCATGCCGGCCACATGACCATGGAAACGTCTTCGGACAGCGCCGGCTCTTCGGCTTTGAAACGGAGATGAGCACCGCAACCCTAGAGTCGGACTCGACTGGCTTTCGAGCAAGGGAATAAATTACCTTTACCTTTATGAGCCTTTTTGCCTCTTTCTTTTTTAGGACGGAGGAGGAGCCTCCCGGGCCTTCGTGCGCAGAGCCGGAGGGAGGCGTCTGGAGCCGCAGGGCCCCCTCGCAAACCAGCAAGCTGAGCAAGCTGCCCTCCTTCATCTCCCTCCAGTCGCCTTCCACCTCTCCCGCCGAGGAAGAACGCAAGCCGGAGCGAGACAAGCCCAGGGAGGAAGCAGGTATATCATCGGATCCTAGAAGGTTAGAGTCGGAGGGGACCCTGCAGGTCACCGAGTCCAGCCCCCCTGCCCTCTGCAGGAGCACAGCCGGAAGATAATAGCCCCGCAACAGACCCCAAAGAGGGCCGTCCAGCCGCCTCCGCTTGGAAACGTCAATCAATGCAGTTGGGCTGGCTGGGTCCCTGGGCGGAGACAGGAGGAGGGAATCCCCTCCTCTTCTGGCAGCTCTCAGGGAAGAAGCAGCAGGAGGGGGAGTCCAGAGTTCCAAGCGTGGTTAGTTCTCCAGACTTCCCTCCAGAGGCACCCGCGGCTTAAGGGGAGGAGGCAGGCTCAGTGGCAGAGCCATCTGCTTTGTCTACAGAAGATCGCAGGCTCAGTCCCCAGCAGCGTCTCCAGCTGAGAAGGTCCAGGCAGGAGATCGTGGGAAGGACCTTCACCGGAGGCCCAGGAGAGCGGCTGCCAATGCTCCCTCTAAGCTGAGTTAGCATGAGCCGGCTCACAGTTTTTCAGCCTCTGGCTCACACAGTTTTGTCTCAGCTCAGGAAGGAGAGCCCCAGGCCATGTTCCCTCTAAGCTGAGTTAGCGTGAGCTAGCTCACAGTTTTTTAACCTCCGGCTCACACATTTTTGTCTCAGCTCAGGAAGGAGAGCCCCAGGCCATGTTCCCTCTAAGCTGAGTTAGCGTGAGCTAGCTCACAGTTTTTTAACCTCCGGCTCACACATTTTTGTCTCAGCTCAGGAAGGAGAGCCCCAGGCCATGTTCCCTCTAAGCTGAGTTAGCGTGAGCTAGCTCACAGTTTTTTAACCTCCGGCTCACACATTTTTGTCTCAGCTCAGGAAGGAGAGCCCCAGGCCATGTTCCCTCTAAGCTGAGTTAGCGTGAGCTAGCTCACAGTTTTTTAACCTCCGGCTCACACATTTTTGTCTTAGCTCAGGAAGGACGGGGCTCCAGAGCGCACTAATTTATGCAGCAGCCATCTTGCTCGCTCACAGCTTCAATGCCAGTAGCTCATAAAGTAGAATTTCTGCTCACAAGACTCCACAGCTTAGAGGGAGCATTGGACAGTACTGACTTTGCATGGACCAAGGGACTGATTCGGTACAGGGCAGGTTCCTATGTGGCTCATGGGAGTGTTCAATAGTGGGTAAACATTTCAGGGCAGTGATTAGCTGGAAGCTGAAACGGGGCGCGGAGAGGGCAGGGGCACATTTGCAGGGGGTTTGCCCACTGTGGGAATGAAGGCAGGGTCTGCCTCCGCGTGGGAGGTGAGGTGGGGGGTGTTACGCTGCACCCCCACTTTGCTCTCTCCCAGGGGTCTGCATCCTTGATGAGAAATGCACCTTCCACCGAAAGTGAAAAATATATACTTAGGATGGCCAGTCGGATTTTGTGGTATCTTCTTCCCCCTGATTTTATTTCATTGTTCAGCATAACAGAGAGAGTCCCGTGAAGGGGAATGGAAATCTGCTCGGAGCAGCCGAGTGGTCCTGCAGCCGCCGACTGCCCCTTTGGCTTTCCCTCCCTGTGTTTTTCTTCTGCCCTCTTTCTTAAAATGCACCTGGGGCAGAGGCCCCCAGCGTGGGCCCCGTGGCAACCGTGGTGCCTGCCAACACCACCCCTGGTGCCCTTCAAGTATTTCTAGAAAGTGGGTGGGACCCGGTGGGGCTTTCCCCCAGCAAGGCTTCTGATTGGCCACTGGAGATTTGATTGGCAGTGCAGATTTTTGAATGTGTGGCTTTGGCGGCGGCGGCCACCACGACGCAAGGATCTTCGCTGTGTGACTTAAGACGAGCATCACAAAATCATGGAGTTGGAAGAGATCTCCAGAGACATCTAGTCCAACCCCCTGCACGATGCAGGGAATTCACAAATACCTCCCCTCTCCCCACACCCCCAGTGACCCCTGTTCCACGCTCAGAAGATGACAAAAATCCTCCAGGTTCCCCGGCCAAACTGGCCTGGAGAACAATTGCTTCCTGGCCCCAGAGTGGCAATCGGCATTTCCCTGGGCGTGGAAGAAAGGCCCACGAGAACTAAGCCCTGAGGGCAGCCCTCCCTGCCCTCCCTTCTCGCGATCTGCCTGAGTTCGCAGAATCCGCATTGCTGTCAGATGGGGCCATCTAGCCTCTGCTTGGAAACCTCCCAAGAAGGAGAGCCCCCCACCTCCCATTTTGTGAGTGGTGGCCAGCGGAGGTCTCCTGGAAAGGAGGGTGGTGCATCAGATGTCAGGGCCCCTGCTCTGATGGCAGGGCTGAGCCGTTGGGGTGTTGGCCGAGCCGTGTGCCCTTCCTGGAAGACTTGCGCCTCCTCCACGTGAAGCTAAGTGCCCCTCCCCACCACCGCTTTGAATCTTGATCTCGACCCCAGCCTTTGTGGCCCAGGGAAGTGGCTCCTGAACCAACCCTCTGGGCCGCTGGGGTGTTGGCCGAGCCGCGTGCCCTTCCCGGAAGACTCGCGCCTCCTCCACATGAAGCTAAGTGCCCCTCCCCACCACCCCTTTGAATCTTGATCTTGACCCTAGCTCTTGTGGCCCGGGGAAGTGGCTCCTGAACCAACCCTCTGGTTTGGCTTCTTGTCTCAGTTAATCCACAGATTGCAAGAGCTGTCAGAATTCCGTGGGTTTTGCCTGTTGGCTCTGTACAGGCTCAGTTGCCGAGTGGGCCGAGGAAGGCAGGGCAACAGACTTGGCGGTGTCGGATTGCAAGAGCTGTCAGAATTCCGCGGGTTTTGCCTGTCGGCTCTGTACAGGCTCAGTCGCCGAGTGGGCCGAGGGAAGGCAGGGCAACAGACTTGGCGGTGTTCTGAGCTACATTCACTGTATAATGCTGCTAATAAAACCTGTTCACCCCTGTATTTTGGCATATCTCCTAAAGTCGGCCAACCTGACTCTTAGCTGTACCAACTTCACACCCCCAAACTCCGTAGAGCCCGCTCTTTGGCGAGATTCAGTGTATTACCTTTGGCCTTATTATCTGGCCGCTTTCAGGGTGTGCCCTTT